TTGCCGTAGTTATTCCGCGGAGTGGATGTAGCGGATGACAACGATGGATTACTCGAAGCGGCCGCACGCGCACGCGCAGCAGCAATCGTCTCTTCACTCAGCATAAAAGGCTGAGGTTTACTAGTACTCGGAGGCTCCATCCCGTTTAAGAAATCCATCAGACTCTCCTGTCGCGGGGGTTGCGGTCGCTTAGTTTCCGGTGCTTGGTGTCTTTGCACCTGCACCTGGGGCGGATGTTGGTTAGTCGGCGTAGGAAGAGCCGTTAACTGGTCTTCATCTTCATCCTCGTCGTCTTCGTCTTCGTCAGATAGGTCGATGGCGTAGGGGTCCTTAACACGGCGACGCGTACGCGTGATGTGTGGTTCATCGGGGCCGGACATGCTGCCGGTGAGTTGTTGGGGTTGGTTGGAATAGGCGGGCTGGACGACGCTGGGGGAAGGGATGAGACCGGTGCGTGAATTAATGGTTTGCGTGCTGTCCTTTGATTCTAGGGTTGAGGACGCGGAGCCGTATGCTGATTCGACGTTGCCGTGTCCGCCGAGCATTGTCTCGAATTGGTCGGAATCGACGGTTGTACGGAAGGGCGCTACGTTTCGCGGGATTCTGGGTTGGCCGTGGTTTGCGTCGGGTGGTCCTTGGCGGATGAAGTCGATCAAGTCACCGTTGCCGGTGCTTAGACCTGCGGGACTGCGCGGCTCCATGTTTGGGCGTGCTCGCGTGGCGGATCCGTTGGCGCTGCTAGATTGCTTTGACATGGACATTTTACGTCCGAGAGACGATGTCGACTGGTTGCCCGACTTTTGGCCATTCCCACTGATGTTGACAAAAGGCTGCACTGGCTTCTCCTGTCCCGGAGAGGGACCAGTCGACCGAATAAAGTCAGCAAAGTCACGCATGGACTCAGACTCGATCTTCGGATCTCTTGCAAGCGGCCTGGTAACCACCTTCCGACTGGGTGAAGGCTTGTGATTGGCGGCAGTAGGTCCCTTGGCTCTTGGTGCTGTGGTGTTAGGCAGATTCGCAGTGCCAAACGACTTGTCTTCGGCATTGACGCGTGGATACACAGTTACGGAAGACGCGGAGGGCCTTCGTAGTTCCGCCTTCTTGACGACGGGGGATTCCTTCTACAGATCATTAGCACATGTGATCCAGGGAAGCAAGCACGACTTACATCAGCAGTTCGCACGCTTTCGGGGGTTAATGTAAACTTTACCGTATCCTGTCCTTTGACCAAGGAGTCGAATTCGCGGGCGCGGTCTTCTTCAGACATGCGGCCGCTCAGTCCACGGGAGCGGTGGCTTCCAATAGACTCCCGTCCGCTTGAGACGACGGGATAAGCGCCCTGCTTCCGAAGAGAGGATGATGTCGATGTACCGCGCTTCAGCGAAGAGTTGTCCGAAGAGGATTTGTCGGCCACATGCGGAGAACGAGCCGAGTCGTCTGTAGATAGGCGGTTCGTCGCTCGTCGCTCGGATGTATCGGTCGCAGAAGTAGGACTTCGCCTGGGACTGTCCGAGGTACGCACGCTACGGCTGGTATGAATCGACGGCGTCTTCCTTTTGTGCTGTGGAGTATTGCTCTCGACTTCCTGCAGCGCTGGTAGTGACGAACCACGCGATGCCGAGCGAGCTAGATCCTGTCTCCTCGGTGCGCTGGTCGGACCTTCGTATGCGGCGGGGCCTGGGATCAACTCGGCACCAGTAAAGGACCTTCTGTTGACTTCTTTGCGTGCCACGGAACGGTCTGGCACGTTGGGTTTGCCATCAGGCGAGGGAGTGTTGCTGTAGGTGAGCGACGTCGGCGTGAAGTCTCGAGGTGGCACCTCAACGTAGCCTCCGCTGCCCGGCCTCCTTCGCTCATGGGGTGAATCGCTGGGGGAGTTTGACGCTGATCGTATAACGCTGTCCGATGTTCGCGCGACGCCAATGGCACGATGCTGCTCTGGCTCGTCGTCTGATGGCTCGTCGTCGAGATAGGATCGCCCTTCGGAGTGGACAGGGGCTTTCGGTGTTGCCAAGGGTGTTCCGACGGGTGATTTGAGGCTCGAACTGCGGGTTGAGAATGTGCGGACCAGTCCTGGAGGGCCGGGTCGTTCGATTGACATCCTCTTGGACCGCATGACCTGGGGCGGGCTTTCAGCGGTGGCCTCGTGCGTCTCTTCCGCCTGCTCAGCCTTCTCAGCTTGATGTTCTGGCTCTTGCGACGGCCCAACTGCGCTCCTTCGGAAGCCCATACCAGTGGCCGCTGCGAATGCCACCATGGAGGCATCTTCCTCGGACGACTCATCTTGTTGATCCTCGGTATCTTCTGCAGTCTCCTCTGTTGCTTGTAGGGGGGTATCCTCTTCCTCAGCTTGTGCGGGCATTGTGAACTGTGGCGCCTGACGCAGCGGCATCGACAAGGGACGGGGCCTGTTGCTCTTGATCGAGGATTCCACCAGCGAAGACAGCAAAAGGACACTGGACGGCCGCTGGGGTCGTTGGACGGGCGTCTGCATGCCTGAGCCCTCCGCCCCGTCTTCGTATGTGGGCGCCAGGCCAGGCACCTCGATCTCGTTGACGTCGTTGTCGCCGATGGGGAGGGGTATGTTGGCGGCGATGTCGGTCTCGGTAGGGGGGTGTTCGGGCAGGGGCTCATGCTCGCTGTGTACGGTGTTGATGGTCTCGCGACTGGCTTTGCGGTGGTGCAGGCTCGAGTAGCTCGGGGCTTGCTGGACACCTCGCGGGGACATGGGCGTGATGGGGGAGCGCACGCGTTTCCTCCACGTCCGCCAGAGCCTGCCGAGCGCCGAGTTGAGGGCAATCTTCTCCACGTCGGGCTCTTCGATGATCAGACGCTCGATGAGCTGCTGCGATTGGTCATCGTTCTGCTGGGCCAGCTTCTTCATCCGCGCGGCCATTCGCGAAAAGGCCGCCGAGCCAGCGACCAGTAGTAGTTGCTCGGCCACGTACTCGATGACCGAGGTGAGGAAGATGGCAGAGGCCCAGGCGACCAGCCCAGCCTCGTCGTCCTCGTCGTCGTCCATGCTGAGGCCGCGCTCCTGCTGGACATAGCGCTCCTCGTCCTCGTCCTCGAGCTCGCCCAGGCGGGTGTAGACCATGATGCGCAGGCGGGTGCGCTTCCACACCTTCTCCACGTCCCACCGCTCAGCAGCCCTAAGATGCGCTGTGGAGAGCTCGTCGTCGTCCTCGCCAGCCAGCAGCCCCTGCAGCTCCTCGTCGGCCGCCTCAATGGCATCGCGGGCCAGTCGCGGCTTGAGTACGTCGGACACGGCGGGGCGGATGGCCGTCAGGGCGGGCGAGCGCGCACTAGAGAGGAATGCGAAGAGCAGGTGGTCGAGGAAGGCATTGAGGAGGGCCAATGCCTGTTCCGAGAAGATGGCGTTCTGCAGCTCGTCTGTGTCGGCGTCCTGGTCGCGCAGCTGGGCATTGTGGTGGTCCGTCACCGTCTGCGAGGCGACGGATGCCGCAATGTAGGCCGGCGCCGGGCGCACCGTCGTGGGCATCTGGAAGGTGACGGAGCTGGCCAGCGAGGGCGTCTTGTCGCTGCTGAAGCTGTGGCTCCGCGACGAGCGCGACGAGGCCATTCCCGCCATGCCAGTCGTCTCGGACAGGGCGTGTCGATGCATGGCGCAGGAGGTCGAGCATGCACGTCGGGAAACGGGGATATCGATTAGGCAGAGTAATATGCGCTGCGCACGAAGAAAAGTACAGCGCTCTACGCCACCAAACGTTACAATATTGTTGTCATGAAGTTGACGTGAATTACACACTCAAGCAACAGCAAGAACGGGCAAAAGCACGGGCAAACGGCAGATGGGAGATTGGGCGAGCAAAAGAGTATCAGACCAGAATCGGGGTTGTCACGGCTTGTGAGAGACATCCCAGCGGCGATCCTGGACGGTAGTCTCCTGCAATGTGCCCTGGCCTAGCTGCTTTGCCCGTAGTCCAAAGTGGCTTCTCGCCCTCCACAGCAAGAGAGTCTAAGACAGGCTTTGTGCCACGCCGGCGTAAAGCCGCTCTACATTGTCGTATTACAGTACATGTCTAGTAGCTGTCTACCAAATTGTTGCCACTCAAGGTGGAGTCGTCGCACCATGGGACCAGGACCACGTCTCTGTTCCGCGCAACCACGCTCGCCGTACCTGCAGCTTTTCTTTTTGCTCAACAGCCACCCTGCATCCACGGGACGGATATTATCGTGCTGCGAAACAGAGTCGCCGTGTTTTCGGCGCGAGACCGTCACACAAGACACGTCTGCGACAGACACCTCCAGGGCTGTATTGCCGACCCAGGGTCACGCGTCCCGCCGACGTGGTTCGCGACGAGTCAGCGCATCCTTTCGCTAATCTCAGGGGCTGGGCTGGAGCTGGACAATTATGGTTCTCGACGCCGTACTTTGTACGGCATACTGCAGTTTGTATAGGCTGGGCTAGCATGGAAGGCGTCGCCGTTCTGAGAGTGCAGATCGTGAGGATGTAGTCACATCTACAAAAATACCTTTTAGGGCAACCGCGACTAGCATTCCCACCACACTCTGCGTCAGCGGCGGATTTAGAGCTACCACAAGTCTTGCAGCTACTTTCTCGATCTAATTAGCAGAACCACGCCGCTTCCTACGTCCGTTGCCTAGGATACATTCAAAGTTGGGGTCAACATTGTTGGACATCCTACTCCTTTTCCAAACAATTGACAGCGTATAGGCAGCAAGTAACACGGGGTCTGTCTGGTATATGGGCTCTACTTGTACGTGCTGCTAAGTACAGAATCAACCCTCCTGGTTCGCATCGATGGATTGCCTCTAAGCGAGGCTTCCACCAGTACGTCTTGATAGTCTACTTGCTTGCATCACCGCGACTTCCAAGCTTTCTCGTCACACCCTTCAACACACCCTTGGCAACCTCCTTCAAGCTGCGGCCACTCAATCGCTTCTTCGCCTGTTCTGCGCACGCACTGCCTGACTCTGCCTGACCGGCCTCATCTTTGGAATTTGAGACCCTCTCAGTAGAACTTGGCGGAGCGGAGGGACTCTTGTTTGAGGGCGCTGGGGAGTTTGGCGATGCCGTCTGAAGTCTGGATCTGTGGAGATTCGAGTTCGTCTGCCGGTGAGGTAACGCTCTGTGATCGCGAGGGCAGTTCAAAGTCAGCTAGAAAGTTTGGCGGCGGCGACATCTCCTTTTCTTGATCTGTCTCTTCCGTCATGGTGCCAACGGATTGTTCGGATACCTCCATCTTCTTAATCTCGTTTAGATATGTTGCCACTCCAACAAGTGCTTTCTTGTGCGAAGCAAGGAGGCTTTTGGACCGAGTCTTTGGTCGGAGCTTGCGCAGAGTTGCATATTCTCGAACGACATGGTCGGCAAGGGTTCTTCTCTCCGCAAAAGTGTTCGAAGGCCACCCGTCGGGTCTGTATAGATCACCGTTGTTGGGAATGGACGGCTTCAAGACCTCGTTACGTCCTGCGTGGTGTTGTGCATCAAGTGGCGCATCGCGATAGTCGTAGATGCTGCTATAAGCCATGGCGCTATCAAGTCTTTGGTCAGTGAGTGATTCAGTGAATGTCGTGCGGTACTCACTGTCGAAGCTGCACCGCTATCTCCGTGTTGGTAGCGGGAAAGCGCGCAAGACTCGAGTGGAAGATGCTGTCAAGGGAGCAGGAAGTGAGAGTGCTGTTGCCAGAAACATTTCGTGCGCGTAGTGGGAGGGTAAAGCGTGCCTGCCTTCATGTCCGTATCGGGCAACCGCAGATCCTCCGCGTTCATCTTCTTCTGACATATTCCTCGTTCACAGGAACTCTTTCTTGAGTACGCTGTAAGCTTGAGTGCAATGGATTGCTATCGACTACGTAACCAAGTCATCTCATCTTTCGTTGGCACAGTCTTCAACAGCAACTACCTGACTTCCGTGAGCCTAGCTAGCTAAACATCCTGCTGTTGCCCCAGCCTCATAGCCTCTCGCTTTACTTCACCTTTCTGAGCCGCGCGAGCCGATTTGCGGACATCCGCAAATTTTGGGACTTGAATAAGCACTGCGATTACCGTGTGGCTTTGCTGATACCTCATCAACACACCGCACTGTTAAACAGTCTCCAAACACAAGCTAGATGCAGAAATCGCGCAGGGCAGGAGCGTCGTGGTTGCTGTTACCCCATCGCAATCGCTCATTGGCCACGGCTGTAGCCCAAGCTTCCTCCCCTCATCATGCCCCAACTTCACGACATGACCACGCAGCACGATTAAATCTCCTTTTCTCGAGTACTTGGTCTCTGCTTTCTGAATTTCGTCGCGTTCCAAGGACGTCCATGCTTCCACCTTTCGCCGTTCTTCAGGTAATGGCGATGAGATGCCGGCGACACCATCCAAGGTCTGCTGTACCAGTGCAGAACGGTAAGTCCTCATGTTCCAAACAACACAGCTCGACCTGTAGTGGGGATCGTTCACTTGTACCGTCTTGAGCGAACGCCGAACTCTGCTGCCCCATGCTCAGTAAGGCGCCGAGGAAACTCAAGCGGAAGGAACGACATCGCGATTCTCGTCTGTCGCTGCGGAAGGAGCGGAGTAAGACATCTCTATCATACTACCCACTTTGAAACAAGCCACTCAGGTAAAGAACAGGTAGTGGAAGCGCATGAATCACGACGTACTCCAGTCTTCCATCTCTTACTTCGCCATCTCCCTTATCCTCTGTCGCAGCGTCACCTCGATGTGAGCGAATGGCCGCCATGTTGTCCCACTCGCGAGGCGGTATTTACATTCGGAACAGACCTCGCTGCTGTTGATCGATCCCATGTCCTCGGCATAGGTACATGCCAAGGCGTGTCCGTCGACGAACCGAGACCGACAACATGGCTCACCTACAAACCTATCACGACCCCAATGGCAGCAGGGCCGATGATAGACGTGTTCGATATAACACATGTACCGCTGTGTGATGGGGACGTCTTATCCGAGCGACCAATTCGAAGCCCTGGAGGTGCCGACGGGAGTGATTGGACGAACACTGACCTTTCGCAGACAAGACCATATTGCCAGTGTACAAACACGCAAACACTACGTGAGGCTCCTTCATTGTGCAGCGACAGAGATAATATCGCGGAACCGTCTGCTCGCAATCCCTTGTTCCATCCCGACGTTTGGCGTCGCAACTGCTACTTCGTCAATGCGTCATTGGCATTCACCATGATTGGCCCATGTTGATACAGTGGACCATGAATCGCCGACAATCACTTCTCCAGCATGTTCGGGAGCTCAGAGGCAGTGATCCGGAGAAGCCAATTGCGCCATTGACTGAGAGCGGGTGGAGTTGTACTAACGCGAGATCAGTGCGCATAACCTATAGCATCATCGACCCCCATCCGGCAGCGACGCCAACATCTACCCCGGATTTTCCAACACCATGCTACTGGCGCCATTTCCGGAGGCCTAGCTTCCCGGAGGTCGGCCATGGCCAAAATCTTCCCCCGTATCGTTCCGAGCGCTTCGTCCAGCGTAGCCTGTGCTGCTGCAGGTACACCCGTTGCTGCCACCCCACCACACCCATATCGCGCTGCAGGTCATCAATCGTCCCGGACCGCACCAGAGGGGTCGTGCCACACATTGCTTCTGTGCGCACGCCGGGTATCGCAGCGACGCAGCCCAGAGGCCAACGCCATGTGGCAGAGACACCGTTCGCCGATGGCTGCGTTGGTGGGAACGGATCGACGTTGGGACGTCTGATGGTTGGCCTCCATATCTCCCAGCGCAGCTAGACGTCGTCTCGCGAACGACTCGCAATGTCTGGTGGTGTTGCGTCTCCGGTTGGTATAGGCCGCACGTGTGAGCACTGTCCATGCTCAGCACCACCACTCCACTGGCTGACTGGCTGCCTGGCGTGAACCATGCAGATGAGGCTCCCTGGATCAGCGCAAGCTATCATCTGGGGAAATACAAGCATTCTCGACCACGCTCCAGCACACGAGCGGGCCTCCAGCCTTGCCTAAAGCGGAGATGACACCGCCACATGCACGGTTCCTGATCTTCACGTCAAACGTCAGGCTGTTTGTGAACTGTGATGTGACGTTTACGCAGATGGTGCTACTTGTGAGATATCGACATTGTGAAGAGCTGTTGTTGTGTCGCTGGCGGGCAAGCATGTCATCCAGGGCGCAACGGCCGGCGGCGTTACTCGATAGGCTAACGTAACATGGAAATCCGCCCATGTCCCTTATCTCTGGTGCCAGGGGGCATGCAGTGCTAGCGGATCGACGGCTCGCCCGCAACCCCGCTAAGCCCAACGTCGACGCACGATAATGTTGAGCCGACGTTGCTGTGCGGCTTTTTTACCTTTGTCGGGATGTCTCGAACGCGCTGGATTAATCACAATCGTGGGGTTGGAGAGGGATTATCATTTGGATGACGGCAATTCGTGCAACTCGAATGTGCCGCGTGCGCGCTGTGTCGCCGGCGGGCCAGGAAACCTGTGGGGTTGAGATGGGAATCTTTCAGCCGTACCATCGAAGTCGAGACGACACCAGCGACAGAGACTTCGAGCGCTCTTCTAGAATAATGCACGTCCTCTGGTCCCAGACAATAAAACGGACACACCGGTCGGAAGGCTATTAGAGTCTCGGATGCTGACTACAAGAAACGACGTTGAGCGGTTTGCGTGATGCTGCCATGACGAGGCAGGACTAACTGCAACTGCAGCCATTGGCCCGAACCGGCCTTATCGCCCCCCGATGTCAACCCCGGGCAACGGCGCGCCCTGCCCAGCGCGACGGTTATGCACTACAGCGAGCTGGGCATGCAGGTGTCGCGAGACGTGGACGCACAGGGTCTGGGTATTCAGGGTTACGCAGCTCGTGTTGGGCAGAGGTTGGCGAAGCATACGAACGGCCATCGCAAAGCAATAGTCGTGTGGAGCGGTGTGTCGTAACTGTCGTTGGTACGGGCCAAGACCGAAGGGAATGACCAATTCGGCAGTACCTGGATAAAATTAGCTGCCCTTACAGCGACGCTACCCAGCGTCAAATCGCTCAAACTCGGAAGCTGGTGAGGCTGTGCGTCTGTGCGTTCGCCCGTCAGCCAACATCACGATGCGCGACAAAGACCGCGTGGGCCTATGGTAAGCCTTGGAAACCGGCGACGCGAGATTGGGCACAATATCACCAGAGAGACGGTACAACCGTGGCTAGCGGAAGCCTAGAGATTGCAGAGTGGGCAAGGCATGCTGGGATGCGGCGTAAAGTCGCGCGTTTAGAGACATTGATTGCTTCTTCATCCCACGGAAACAGTTCGGCGACGCCTCTTGGCTACGGCCAGCCTAAGTAGTATCTGAGCACGGCTAGCCCCGCCACAGGCCGAGACAGTCAAAGCAATCCAGCATTCTTACCTTATAACAGACCCCCAGGCCCGCTATCCTTATCTACTTGCCCATCATAACTCCCCACTTCACACAGAAACCCCTCTTATAACCCCTCCACTGCCTTGTCTTGTCGCGGTCAAGAGTTACTTGCTATTCCCTCACCACCACACATACACAACCACAGTCATGGTACGTGTCGCCGACTGCCCCTACACGCGACTCTTGCTGACCATATTCTAGGCGAACTCAACGATTGTTTCCAATGCGGCCAACGTAAGTCTGCTGCTCGCGTGCTACACTCAAACACATGCTAACGCGCATTGCAGCTCAAGAAGTACCTCGACCTGCCCCAAAAGGGCGCCGTCATGGCCGAGTACGTCTGGATAGACGGTTCCAACGGAATCCGCTCCAAGTCAAAGGTGAGCATTTTCCAGCTTTCCGATCCCACAACCCGATCTCCACGATCTCTGCGATATACCGCGGCATTTGCACCACGCTACGGCTGCGGATAGGTCTAGTCTGCGGTTCGAGGTTTCTAGCCGAGAGCAGCAACTGGCTACGACGCGCCGTGCGATACACAATCTGGAGAAGCCATTCGACGACTGGAGTTGCGAGCGTGGTGGTCTGCATGTGTGACGCACATGGCGCCAATCGCTCCTTCTGCCGGGAGTTTTGGCGTTCCTTCTTATCGCACCCCACCACCAGCCACAGCCCGCAGTGACGTCGTTCCCTTATCCCACCCGACTTCATTCCGATTACCCGAGGCTCATACTGACATGCACGCAGACGCTCAAGTCGAAGGTCGAGAGCCTCAAGGACCTCCCAGAATGGAACTTTGACGGTTCGTCGACGGGCCAGGCGCCCGGCGACAACTCGGATGTCTACCTCCGCCCCGTTGCATACTACCCCGACCCCTTCCGTCTGGGCGACAACGTCCTGGTCATGTGCGAGACGTACATGTCGGATGGCTCGCCCAACGCCTACAACTTCCGCCACGACGCCGCCATCATCTTCGAGAAGCACAAGGAGCACGGCTTCTGGTTCGGTCTGGAGCAGGAGTACACCCTTCTCGACGAGTTTGGCTGGCCCTACGGATGGCCCAAGAACGGCTTCCCCGCCCCCCAGGGCCCCTACTACTGCGGTGTCGGTACCGGCAAGGTCTTCTGCCGTGACATCGT